ACCCTAAAACCCTTTTACACAGGCTTGATTGGAGCTCGCCCGAAACCCTAAACCCTAAACCCTAAACCCTAAAACCCTAAAACCCTAAAACCCTAAACCCTAAAGCCCTAAACCCCAAAACCTTAAAGCCCTAAAGCCCTAAAGCCCTAAACCCTAAAGAGACGCCAGCCAAGGATGGCTTGACGAGGGTGGAGGTCCTCAACCTCGATGCTGCAGCCTGGCCCGGCTTTAGGGGTTTAGGCTTTAGGGTTGAGGCTTGAGGGCTTCAGTCCTGGGTTTAGGGTTTAGGGTTTAGGGTTTAGGGCTTAGGGTTTAGGGTTTAGGGCTTGGGTTTAGGGTTTAGGGTTGCGTTTGCAGAGTTTATAAGGCACAAGTTTTGGGGGAGTTAGGCTTTAGGTTTTAGGGCTTCCAGGGTTGAAGGGTCAGGGTTTAAGGGTTGTGGGGCCTAGTGAGTGTATAGATGTTTAAGGTTTAGGGCTTGGGTATTTGGGGCAACAAAGTTTTAGGTTTCTTGGTTATCGGTGTGCACAGCGGTCCGCGTTTTGCAGGGTTCAGATAAAAACGGTTTGTGACGCACCTTTGGCATGAGTTCCTTGCCCAGGAAAGCGATTACACCTTCCGGGTGGCCCAGAACACCGACTTGCAGGCAGGGAGAACATGAAGCGATCGATCCACAGAGTGGTTTTTAACTTCATAGGAGCGAGAACACTCGGCAATCGGTTCGTTTTAGAGTTTGGGCTTCTTTTGGCACTTTTGGGGTTCGCGAGGTGATTTGGGGCCTGCATTATTTTCGGGGTTCCTTAGAATATAATTAGTATAACGGGCCCCAAAACCCTATTCTAATTCTTGCGGCCCCTACATTAGGGTGCAGGGCTTTCTAGGACCTCTTGTTTGATTGATTGGTTTGGGTTCTGAATCTAAGACATTTTCAGGTGGGTAGGTACCGCTATAGGAGCCTTATAGAAGGTCTATATACCTTCTAGAAGCCTTATAGAAGCCCTAGATACCCTAAACTCCCCACCCTAAACCCTAAACCCTAAACCCGGTAATTTCCTTTAACTGAAAGGTGTGAGGCTGAGCTGGGACCCTACACCGAGAAGCCTCAGACCTCGAAGGGCTAAGGAGCTCTACAGACGTCCGGAGCTCCCCCCACAGTTCCCTCAAACTTATGAGTAGTATACCCATAATGACAGCCGCAATTTACCCAAACTATATATATATATACTAAACCCTAAACCATAAACCCTAAACCCTAAACTATATATAGTCCTAAGCCCCGAAAGCGGCCTTTTTTGGCAGGTCATGGCCTCCACGGCAAGCCGGCCGCAGGCACCGAAGGTGCGTGTGATGCGACGCCGGCCTGGGGGACTTGCCGTGCAGGCCCTGAAAAAAACCGAAACAGTGAGGGCTTTAGAGGGTTTTAGGGTTTTGGGGTTTAGGGTTTAGGGTTGTTTAGGGTTTAGGTCTTTGGGATTTTGATCGGCTTGCATGTTGGCGCTTTGGGGTCATTCGGCGTGGAGGGATTTGGGGGCTGGGGCTGTGGAGTAAAAGATAAGGCTTCTGTTTGAGGCGACTTTGAAAGGTTTCCGGGCTTCGGGCTCTGGGACTTCAGGGCTAGGGTTTCAAGATATAGGGTTAAGGGTTTAGGGTTTTGGGGTTTGGGTTTTGGGGTTTAGGGTTTAGGGTTTAGGGTTTCGGTTTTAGGGTTTAGGGTTTAGGGTTTAGGGTTAAGGGTTTAGGGCTTTTAGGGTAGAGGGTTTGGG